AAAAATATAGACTTTTAGGTTTTAGCTTCTGTTCTCACTGTTCAGTGAAAACTGAATATTGGAAGGGCACTAAGTCATAATAAAATAGCACTGTCATAATAATGGATCCGTATTTGGTTAGAGAGGAGGTAAGAAAATGAATAGTTTTCCTAAAAGTTTCTTTTTCTATTTTTTGTGAAAGATGCTATTGTTAGTGTTTGGTACCAACTTAATGGTATAATGGCATGCTTGAGAAACAAGTTAGGATATTGGAGGTGTATATTTTGGACTCTGGATTCTTTTAGTTGCTTGCTTTGTGTTTGTTGGGTCTTCCAAGTTCCAGATCTGTGATGGACACATTCAGTGGGAAGGGGATAAAATGTTAGTGGACTTGCTGACTCCTAAATGTTCCCTTTGTTGTATTTGAATCTAAAACTGGTTCAAAGCCTATTAAGAGAAGCCACAGCTGTAGAACATACTTTATTCCCACAATCAATATGTTTTTTCCTATCTATGTGCATATGTACATAGATAGTATGTACACATAGACTATGTGCATGCTTAATTCATTCATTTGTTCTTTGACAAGTATTAATTGATAATTTACTGTACATCAGAGAAACAAATTAGGAGTTTTTACACTTTGGATTATGATGGAATAACGGAGACCAACATAAACAACTAGCAGAATAGATGAAGCATATGAAACCATAGTTTGGAAACAGCTGACAGTATTGAACTGTGCTTCCTGAGAGAAGAGAAGGGCGTCTCTGTGATTAAACTGGCTTACTGCCACTTTCCGGGCTACAGTGTTGGGAAAAGGGACCAAAGCAGATTGTAACTGTCTCACTCAAATAAGGAAACAAAAATGAAAATTTGGAGAGGCTAAAGTGACTCATTAGAGGAGCAATGTATCCAAAAGGAAAAAAGTCCTCCCAGAGAAGCAACAGAACACTGCCCTGGGCTCCACTCATCCTTTGGCTTATGGCTTATTGCTCATTTGTTGAGATATAGGAAACACCATGAGGCCAGGTAAAGAATGACCAAAAAGGCATAATTCCAGTAATTTACTAAAAAATTTGAAATTCCTCAGGTCTGGGAGTCCTTGTTGAATGCCCCCAGGGCATTTGTTAGAGATTCCAGAAGGGCTTTGTCGGACTAACTTAGCTCTAGAATTAAGGATAGTCCAAACTTGCCTTAAAGGTTTAAAAATAGGCCTCAAAATTTGATGTAGGGGTTGGGGATGTAAATCGGTGGTAGAGCACTTGTCTAGTATACACGAGGCCTTGGATTTGATGCCCAGCTCCTCCTTCCCCTCAAAAAATTGATCCATAAATATTTGTCATGACACTTAGCAGACACCAAAATGCATCACTTAACAATGTAAAGTTTTTGTGAAAGAACCAAATAAAACTTCTAGAGATTAAATACATACTGTCTGAAAAGAAAAATTTATTAGATAGGATTAAAAATAGCTTAGGTACCATAAAAGAAAGAAGAGATCAGTAAATTTGAAGATAGCCATGGAAACTACATTAACAAACCAAAGAGAAAAGAAGAGGACAATATCAAACAGAGGAACAGTAGCTAACAGGGGTGTTGTACGACTGTAAGCCCAGCAGCTCAGGAGGCTGAGGCAGAAGGATCGAAAATTCAAAGCCAACCTAAGCAATTTAGCAAGACCCTGTCTCTAAATAAAATATTTAAAAAGGCTAGAGGTGTGACTCAGTGGTTAAGTAACCCTAGGTTCAATCCCCAGTAGCCCCCTGAAAGAAGGAATAGAGACTCTATGTTATCTGGGACATCAGGCTGTCTTAAGATGCATGTAATTTGAATCCTTTAAGATGCATGTAATTTGAATCCCAAAGTGAGAGAAGAGGGGAACCGAAGAAAATACATGAAGAAATAATGATCATACATTTCCCCAACTTGATTAAAATAGACCTATTGGACTGGGGTTGTGGCTCAGTGGCAGAGCGCTTGTGTAGCATGTGTAAGGCACTGGGATTGATTCTCAGCTCTGCATAAAAAAAAAAAAACCACAAAATAAACTTATAGGAAAAAGAAGACAAACTAAGATAATCACTACAGATATCTTTGCTGAAACTATGCAAGTCAGAGGATAATGATATCTTTAAAATGCTGTAGAAATAAAACTGTCAACCTACAATTATATATCCAGAAGAAAACTCTTTTCAAGGATTTTTTTTCCCCAAACAAAATCTGAGAGAATTTATTGCCAACATATTTATCCTACAAGAAATGTTTAAAATAAGTTCTTTAGGCAGAAGGTAAATGATACCATCTGGAAACTTGGATCTACACAAAGGAATGAAAAGCACTGGAGAAATGTTTGATGTGTGGGCAAATTTAAAATTCTTTGGAAAATCAATTAGAAATGTTTATTGTAGGGGCTGGGGTTATGGCTCAGCAGTATAGCACTTGCCTAGCACATGTGAGGTGCTGGGTTCAATCCTTAGCACAACATAAAAACAAATACATAAAATAAAGGTATTGTGTCCAACCAGAACTTTAATAAATAAATAAATAAATAATAAAAATATTTAAAAACACTCAATATGGTATTGACCCTAACATTTTTAAGTGTATAAAATGATTTTTACTTTTTTGAAAAAGTTAATTATTCAAGGCAAAAATAAAAACAATGGAGTTCATAATGTGAAGAAGTAAATATATTACAGTAGACTGAAAGATTGAGAGGAGAGAATTGGATACTATTATAACTTTTATTAAACATAAAGTAGCATGTTATTTGTAGGTCAACTGATAACTTAGGAAGCATAATGTAAAATCTAAAGCAGCCACTAAGAAATAAAGCAAAGAAAAAAAGTTTGAAATGAAATTGGTACCAAAAAACACTCAGTTCAGTGAACAAAGAACAAGGTGGTAGATTTAAACCCAGTTTTATTGATATTAAATGTAAATATTCTAAATATTCCAATCAAAAGGTAAATATCAGATTGGGTTTTATAAAAAAGCCACATCTATTTATGATTCATATAAGAAATTCATTTTAAGAATAACAACTGTTTAAAAGTAAAAGAATAAAGCAGTATGAAGTGGCACACGCCTGAAATCCCAGCAACTCAGGAGGCTGAGGCAAGGAGAATTAAGTTGGTTTAAGTTCTAAACCAACCTCAGCAACTTAGCCAGACTCTGTCTCCAAAGTAAAATTTCAAAAGGGGCTGGAGATGCAGCTCAGTGGTAGAATACCCTTGAGTTCAACCCTCAGTACCACCAAAAATGTAAAAGTATAGAAATAGATACATATTATATAAATATTAATCATTAAAAAAGATGGATTTCACTACCAGGGATAATGGATTTATCATAAATAATAAAAGAATCTTTAATCATGAACCGACCAAACTGAAATAAAAAATAGATAAATCCACATATTAGTTGATCGTATTGCAGCATATCTTTCTCTGTAATTGATAGGATAAATATACACAAACTCAATAAGGCTTTAGAAGATTTGAATGACATTATCATCTTACTTCATGTATGGATGTTTATGGACTCTGCCCAACTGTAGCAGGAATACACATTTATTTCAAGCTTACATGGTCAATTAACCAGTATATGTTGGCTATAAAACAAATCTCAGTGACTAAAATGATATGGAGAAAATTATCTGACCAAAAGGGAATTTAAGTAGAAATTAGCAACAGAAAAATACTTGCAAAAATCTTTGGCTATTTGGATATTAAGTAGTTTACTTTATGTATCTCATGAGTTAAAGTATAAATCATAGGCCAGGTGTGGTAGTGCATGCCTGTAATTCTAGTGACTTGGAGGCTGAGGCAGAAGGATCATGAATTCAAAGTCATTTCAGCAATTTAGTAAGGCCCTAAGCAACTTGGCAAGACCTTGTCTCAAAATGAAACAAAAAGGGCTGGGGATGTGGATCAGTGGTTAAGTGCCCCTGGGTTCAATCCCTAGTACCCCCCCCCCAAAAAAAAGAATAAACCACAAGAAAGAAGATTAGAAAATGAGAACTATCCAAATTTGAGGGATGAATTAAAAAATTTGAAGGATTTAACTAAAACAGTACTT